GAGTTGTCTCCAAGATTCTACCTTTCATACATTTGGGCATCTAGGAGGGTAAGATCTATGTTCATCTTGTGTTTTTAGTGTTTTCTAAGGTGTCTTTCTTAAAGATAGAATCTTTATGATCTTTTGGTGTGTTCTTGAAGTGGGTTTGGAAGGTGAGCTTTGTTAGGAGCTTGTTGAGGTGTAAAGTGAAGTCTTTTAGTCTACAAGAGGTAACCCATGCTCTACAAAATCTATTTTGCTTACCTATATGTGATTTCTTGGATTCTACTTGTGTTTTGCTATGAAATGTGAGTGTTGATGCATGATCTTGTGAAAATGCATATCTAGAGCTTGTGTTTAGGGTTCATTTGTGCCATTGCTTGGCATTTCCTATGATTCAAGTCATTTTGTTGTATTGGGTGAGATTTGGCATGTTTTGGACTTGAATTTGAGCTTGGAGTTGAAAATCCCCGAAGGGATTAATTTCGTTGAACCGTGATGAGTCTTGTGTGTTCTTCGGAACTACGTTTGTTTTACCCGTTTGATAAGCATGCTAGTTCGGTGTTTAAATGCTAGCGTGTGTGTTGTTTGTACCTTCCTATTGGTTGATGATGACTTGTGTTATTCATCGTTGTTGTTGGACTGTGATCCATTACTTGATTGAGTATGGTTTCATATCTTCGTTGTGATCCGTTGATTGATTCCTGTTGAGGTGTGATGTGTGTGTGGCTTTACCTGGATTGCACGATTAGTGGTATGGGACACTAGTCACCAAGGTATTGCATTGGTCCACGTGGGGGCCTTGACGTGATTATGGAGTTGTGACCTTTGTGTAAGGTTCACGTATTTCTTGGGTGGCATGTGTTGCCGTGTGTGTGATCGGTACCCTCGTGTACTATGAAATCGGTGGTTCTGTTGGAGACGGGACGACGGTCCTCGGAGGAAAAAGGTTGGACTTGGTGTACAGGGGTTCTAGAGGTAAAGGTTGGAATTAGATATAAGGTTGGAATCGGGCATAAGGAAGGCATATCAACTCGTGATGGGTGATGTCACGAGGGCTTGTGTAGCCGTTGTTGTGAGTTCTCTTCTTGTGACGTGTGTAGTCACAAAGGCATGTGTTGCCTTGGCATGTGTTGCCATTGGGTGTGTCCTTAATCTCTTGTATCATGCATGTCGGGTGTTAATATATTGTGTGATGATAGATTATGCCTTGAGACTTCTTGTGAGTCGTTGTTATTCCTTGTAGTCTTGGGATGTGTTCCCGTGTTCTTGTTGAGTGTGTTTGAGTCTTGTGTTGACTATTACTCTTGGTTTTGGACTTATATATATGTATTCCGTTTCGAAAATTGCTTTACAAACGTATATCTTATATATGTATGATATTTCACATGTATTGGTGGGTTACCACCATTATTCGCTGACCGGGCGTCGTCCCCTGTTTTATGTGTTTCTTTCAGGTGATGTTTAGACGAGTGCGCGGTTTAGTGCCAGCTAGTGTAGCTCCTCCCTTATGTTTTGTGGCCTGTGAGCCAATTTAGACTTAGTACTTTGTTATGTTGGTTTTTAGATGTTGAACAATGCAGTTGTTAGCCTGTGCGTTCACCCCTGGGTGAGCGTGACATAGCACCCCTTCACTTCCAGTTTATATATTTCATCTTTTAGTCTTCCGCTTTGTTCACCCCTGGGTGAGCGTGACATAGCACCCCTTCACTTCCAGTTTATATATTTCATCTTTTAGTCTCTTTTAGTCTTCCGCTTTGTTTGATGTTTTGGTTTAGATGTCTGCATGTTTTTGGCTTTAAATAGCATGGAAATTTGGGGGTTTTACACTCTAGGCGGCTCACACTCCGGACACTCCGGACCTTATCAGGCACCAGGTAACCCTTTTCTAGGTCGCCCCCTCCGCCAGGCCGGCGGGTTTTACACTCTAGGCGGCTCACACTCCGAACACTCCGGACCTTATCAGGCACCAGGTAACCCTTTTCTAGGTCGCCCCCTCCGCTAGGCCGGCACCGGATGAGTGGACGACTTCACTCTGGATAGCTTTCACTCCGGACTCTTCTCGGTTCCCTTTGAACCTTATCAAGCACCGGGTAGCCCTCTTCCAGGTAGCCCTTTCCCACCACACTCCGGCCTCTCAACAAGAGCACCAATGATACGGTACTCAAGCTAAGACCCTAACTCCACCACAAAAGCTAGCTCATGAGTGGAGGTTTGGTCCCAACTTAAGTATCACTCCACAATCTCTTGTGGAGTCGATGTGGGATCGTATCAGTATGAGTTTGAATTGTATAGCTTAGAGATCGTCTCTCACGCGCGGGGGTGCAAACCAAATTTCAAAATGAGGCTATAAAGACTAGGCTCAGGCAAATTATGCTGTGCAAACGGCATCGTTTTACTTAAAACAAAAAAATTATTTTCGATTGCCGTTAGTTACGTAAACATATATTCATAATTTTATAATTTCACATTCTGAATGTATAGTTATGAAGTTATGGATGTGTAGTTATGCAATTTTGAATGTATAGTTATCAAGTTATGGATATGTAGTTATGCATGCAATTCTGAATGTATAGTTATAAAGTTATAATTTCACATTCTGAATATATAGTTATGAAGTTATGGATTTGTAGTTATGCAATTCTAAATGTATAGTTATGAAGTTATGGATGTGTAGTTATGCATGCAATTTTAAATGTATAATTATGAAGTTATGGATGTGTAGTTATGCAATTCTGAATGTATAGTTATCAACTTATGGATGTGTAGTTATGCAATTCTGAATGTATAGTTATGAAGTTATGGATGTGTAGTTATGCAATTCTGAATGTATAATTATGAAGTTATGGATGTGTAGTTATGCAATTCTGAATGTATAGTTATGAAGTTAATGGATGTGTAGTTATGCAATTCTGAATGTATAGTTATGAAGTTATGGATGTATAGTTCAAATTATGCACAACATAACGCCGTTAATGGCAATCGAAATTGATTTTTTTTTAAAGTCGAACGTTAAAACGACGTCGTTTTTGCAACCGTGTGCACCATGCATGGTGCAGATGGTTGCACAGCATAATGCTCCCTAGGCTCAAGCTTAGGCCGCTTTGAGTCTATTTAAGGCCTACATGTTAGCGCCTATATGTGTAAAAAAAAATTTAAAGATATACTTAGACTAATACAAATATACAATAATACATAACTAACATACGTATATCACCACAAATTCACAATTAGCAGGAAGATTGGAAATAAAAAACGAAAAAGAATTGGGAATTTTGGTAGTTAGGGTTTGATAATTCGATCACATATATACTTGGAGTTATATTGTAAATAATATATATATATATATATATATATATATATATATATATATATATATATATATACACTAGTACTCCACCCGTGCGTTGCACGGTATGAAAATAAAATAAAAAAAAAGATATATATATATATATATATATATATATATTATTTTATGTATACAAACTCATAATAATTAGTGAGAACATGAATATAATTAAGAGTTTATAACAAATAAATAACAATATAGAAAATATTATTATACGATCTTATATGTTGCAAAAAATGTGTGCTTCTTGCACATGGTTTGGAAAATAACTTAATAATTGTTTTTAATGGAACATTCAACATCGGCAACCTAATTTTTCAATTAGAGAAACAAACTGAATATCTTGGACCACTATTAACTTTTACTTTTTTCCGTTTCTCCTCGGACCAAAAGAAATGCACTACAATGAGCAACTTAAAAACTGCATCTCCAATGTCAATATACAACTCTACAATAAAACAAATACATGATTCATTACATTTAATAAATTATCAAGAATTCTAAATCAAAACTATAATAAATAATGTATAGCTTCAAATGAGCCTCTCATAATCTAATATTGATTAGCCACACTTTTACTCAATTACTTATAAGTATGACATTAATGTTGTCTTCAAATAAAATATATTATAGTTACAAAGGAAATAAACATTTTATACTAATTTAGTTAAATTATTAAATTCATTTGTTCTAAAATTATATATATATATATATATATATATATATATATATATATATATGATGAAAAAAAAAGAGCAATATATATTTACAATCTTAAAAGTGACTATAAACAAATCTATATCTATATTAAAAATGTTTGCTTAGCCACACCTGTAAGATGTAAACATAAGGTCAAGTTTTTTTTTTTTTATTTCCTTTTTAACCTATCCGTATAAAATAATAATAATAATAATAATAATAATAATAATAATAATAATAATAATAATAATAATAATAATAATAATAATAATAATAAATAATAATAATAATTGCAATAATAATAATGATAATAATTTCCACGGACAGTTTCTAATATATACATACATACATACATACATACATACATACATACATACATACATACACACACACACACACACACACACACACACACACACACACACACACACACACACACACACACACACACACACACACATATATATATATATATATATATATATATATATATATATATATATATATATATATATATATATTTCTACTGGCAAATTATTGTGTGAACGATGGTCCACATAATTGTATGAATCATGAATATTAAATACATTTTTAATATATTAAAAATACATTATTTTTATATTGAAAGTATCTTACATACATATATAATGTACCCTTAGTATATTTAAAAAATACTTTTTATTTATGGTCCACACAATTGAGTAGACCATGTGCCATGTAATAAGGATTGATTTTTACTTATCTGGACCAATCAATCTATATACATATTATTATGTCTGTTATATAAATTTCTGCATCCAGCCCAAATTTGCAGCCCAATATAAAATCCAACCAACCCGGCCCTCCATTTGTTATAAAAAATGGGTTCGCTGTCTCCCTCCGATCTCTTCTCTGTCATCTTCCTCTCCATCTGTCATTGCATGTATATCTCTCTTGTTTAGTTACTCTGTCCAAATCTCTCCACGTTCTCTACTTCGATGTCAATGAGAAACCAGGTATATCTCTCTTGTTTAGGATGAGACTGAAGAATGCATTTCTTCCCAAGTCAAGGAGAAACCAGGTTTGTCCTTGTCATTCTTAACCTTCGTTACCTGCAATTTAATATTAGAATTGTATCCTGTACTATTTTTTAATAAAATAAAAAAAAATATACTTAATTTCTTCCTCTATGTGTTGGTAATAATCCGATGTAAAATAAATTTCTTAAATCCTTTTTTTTTTTGTTATTTAATCTAAATTATTCTTTACATATATACATTAATTTCAATTTTTTTTTTGTCAAAAAATAAATTTGAATTTCTGTGAGATTAAAATTACTGTAATATTATGAAAAAAATTTATATATATACACACACACACATACCGCTTGAGAATAAAAATACCCTAAACACAATAAAAATATAGTTATTGTGATGCATTTAAATTTTGTTAAATGCAGTAAGTTTTACCTATGCATTCTGCCCAGCCTGAGTTAGATCACCAGTCCTAGTTGAAAGATTATCTTCACCAATCTGCAAGCTTGAACAGTATTTAGAAACCTTCTCACATCTATGCAAATGTTAAATGTAAACTCTCCACCTGGTCCTTTCTGGTTACAATATATATATATATATATATATATATATATATATATATATATATACACATTATTTTTTGGAAACATCTATAAATGCTTTTGTTACTTACCTCGTCATGAAATTACACACACACACCCAAAAAAAAAAAAAAAAAAAAAAAAAAAAAGCTAGAATGTAAGGCTACATAAAAACATTTTAAGAATGAATAATTGGAATGGTCAGTAAGTAAAGAGTCTAAATATGAATTTAATGACATGAGAAAAAAAAAAAAAGATCTAGTCTTTGTATACTATTGACTATCCAAATCAGATGGAATGACAGATTTATTTATGAAATTAATTTGTTTCAATTGCATTTTTTTTTTCTGATTTTAACATGAGTTATTTTATAAATATGTTGCAGATTTGAGACCCATGCGTACAGCAAAACTGGAAAATACTGCAAGACAAATAGTAAGTCAATATTTGATAAAGAGTTTGAATCTAAAATAGCAGGTATGCTTATATTGTACCTTTATCTTCAATATTGTGTTTTCTCTTTCCATGTATTGTAGTTGACCCCTTCAACTTTTTCATTCTTCTTGCATTTGTTTGCTATCCACTTGAAAAAGTTTCCCTTCCGAATGAATATATAGTGAACATGTTTGTTTCTTGAATGCCATATATATCAGCTTGTAGAGAACTCAAAAGTCGCTATTTAGAATTGCTATAGTGTACTCAATGCTTGCTATCAATGATTACTGGATTTACTGCATAGTGGTAGGGCTAGCTCTATAATGCATACAAACATAAAAATGAGATTGAAGTTCTCCTATATTTTTTTTTCTCAATTTGAGTAGTGTTGACAATGAGAATAAGTCATACTTGGTATATAATTTGGAAGATTTCATTCATCTTAATAGTTATTGATGAGAACTCTGCTCACAGGACAATATCTAGTACTCTATTTCTCTAATTTGTGTATATATATAAATTCATAATTGTTGTTTGAATATAAAACAGTGAACAAAAAATATTAACTTAGGATCTTCCTCAATGAGGAAATCTATAAGTCTTGTTATGGAGAGAGTATATCTCCATCACCTCTCCAATAATATCTGATATTATATAACGAAGTATGTATTAGAAGTATATTTTCTATGATTTATATAGAATATAAATAACATGAATGAGAAGTTGTACCTGTTAGTTCTTACTGATCAACCTCCTTTTTGTCTAGCTAACAATGTTTTGAAAGAAAATTACAAAATTTATCTACTTACCTCTGCATCATGAAATAAGCATTCCATGCTTTTGATTGTTTTTTCCATGCTTTTGATTGTTTTTTTGTTCTTGATTCAAACAGCTGATATGTTTGCTTTAAAAGTACTCTCATAGCTTTTCGGGTGTGATAAAGATGAGTTTGAGACCCAAGAACAAAGTGGCTAGACATCAAGCTTCAATTGTCAAAGAAGAATGCAACACTCGTTTTTTGTTTCCTTGTAACCTTTTTTCTATATGTAAGCAAAGGTCTATGTAGGCTGTGTAGATGATGTAGATGATTACCAAATGTTCACGCCACACAAAACTTTGGGAATGGGTATATGAAAACCACACGCTACATTGATATTTGATTGATTGATAGGAAAAAGTACAGGATACTCAACCAATAAGCAATAAGAATGGCTAAAAAATAGTCCAAAAAGTCAACAACCAAAACAATAGCAAAATAGTTTTCAACAAAAAAAAAGGTAAAACAATGACGTTTTCAATGAGCGGAAAAATGCTTGAATCTCATTGGCTAGCTTCCGTTTCCCATGGGCGGGAAAACAAATTTCTTTTTTTTTTACTAAAAATGTTTAGCTTTATTATAATAGAAGATATATATATATATATATATATATATATATATATATATATATATATATATATATATATATAGGGAAGAGATTAGGTGCATTTGAGGCTTCCCGTGCGGGTGGACGCACATTAAACATTAATCTGACGCACTTAAAGTATACAACACACGCTCATTAAACACACAAACAAAACACCTTCAGAACACAAGCGCATGCATGTTAAGTACAAGTCTCACGCATGTTAAGCACAAGCCTCACGCATGTTAAGCACAAAAACAAACTCACCTTAAGTTTTAAAAACAACTCACATTAAGTACACACTCATGCACATTAAGTACAAAACTCACGCACATTAAACATAAAACTCATGCACTTTAAAGTTTCAATAACAACTCGCATTAAGTACACACACTCACGCACATTAAGCACAAAACTCACGCCCTGTTATTACGCACAAGACTCACGCACATTAAGTACAAAACTCACACACATTAAACATTACACACTCACGCACATTAAGCACAAATCTCACGCACATTAAGTACAAAACTCGGGCACATTAATCACCCACACAACCGCACGGGAAACACTTAAATGCACTTGAACCTGAATATATATATATATATATATATATATATATATATATATATATATATATATATATATATATATATATATATAATGTTAAATATATAGCTAAATAGGCCAAACATCTAGGCTTAAATGCTAGGCCTTGTATATATAGGCCTGAGCCTATTTAACTAAATAGGTTTTAAAATAGGCTTAAGCTTAACCTTGTTACTAAATAGGTCAGGCTAAGCTACGCCCAAACTAGGTCAAGCCATAGGCTCCTACCAAAAGGCTTGGCCTATTTCATCTGATGTCTAGTTATGGGGGTTAAATATATGGCCCCTACCAAAGGGCCTGAGCTATTTAATCCCTGGTTATGGGGGTTAAATATATCAGTCGTTGTATCGTAGACCGCGGTGCACATGCACTGCGGTAAAAAACGGCGCCGTTTCTTTAAGTAAAGAAACGGCCCGCCGTTACCGTTAACGGAATCCGCATATTTGATGTATTAAACACCAACTGACACTACAGTATATCTAAACCGACACTGCCTCACGATAAATGAAACTGCAGTTATATCAAAATGATACTGTAGTTGTGGTGAAGTGAAACTGCAGTGTAATATAAAATGAAACTGAATAACATTTCACATATTTGAGTGTATATTGTACAATGAAGCTGTTATTATATCAAAATGATCATGTAGTTGTGTTTTAATAAAACTATAGTGTATATAAAATAAATTTAAATAACATTTTCACATATTTGAGTCTATAAATATCGAATGAAACTGTAGCTATATCGAAGTGAAACTGTAGTTGTGTTGAACTGACACTGCAGTGTATATAAAATGAAACTGTTTCAAGGAATAATAACGAAGCAGAAGCATAACTAATCAGCTGTTAATAGCAGTTAATACACCAACTCTCAACATCCTTGTTAGAAGTTAGTTAAAAGTTAGTTACCTTTCAGTTCAGGAGCTTGTGTTAGTATATAGTCCATCTCTGTACTCTTTCTGGATTTGATGAATAAAAAATGTCCTTTTACTTCCTTCCAAATCTGTTAGCTCTCAATTCATTCCCTTGTCTTTCATTTCCGCAATATGGTATCAGAGCCACTGAGAGCTTTCTGAAGTAAATCATCATGGCAACAACAGCGTGGCTATCTATTGGCACAAGAGGAACTCCAATGGATAATGCAGCGGCGGCGGCGGCAATTGGAAACCAGATGCCTGCTCCAACTCCGACGACCGGATCAAACGTGACAGAGGTGAGATACGATCCGGAATCCCAGTCGAATCCCTACTTCCTGCATCCTAACGAGAGTCCAGCGTTGATGCTCATCTCCACACCCTTGGATGGTTCGAACTATCATCCATGGGCTAGGGCCATGACAATGGCGTTATCATGCAAAAATAAACTCAGATTCGCCGATGGTTCCATTCTCAAACCTTCGAAAGACGATCGGAAGTACGAAGTGTGGGAACGCTGCAACGATCTTGTGATGACTTAGATCATCCGATCATTGTCTCCGATGATTGGACGCAGTGTACTCTGGATTGACACTGCATACGGCATATTGAGAGATCTAAAACGAAGATTCAGCAAACAGGATCTCTTCAGGATCGCAGAAATCAAGTGTGAAATCTATCAAACCAAACAAGGTGATAGCAGTTGAATGAGTACTTCACTCAACAAAAATTGTTGTGGGATGAACTTCAAATTCTCAGGCCTACCACAATTTGTCAGTGCATTACTAAATGCGAATGTGGCAAGAAGATAGATGAGTTAAATGAACAAGTTGAAAAGGACAAGTTGTCCATATCCCTTATTGGCTTACATGATAGGTATACTGGTGCAAGGAATCAAATGATGCTCATGAGACCCCTCCCAGATTTATGTGAAGCCTATTCCATAATAGCACAGCAAGAGAGACAATTCCATATTGGATCTAGTGGTTTTACTAACCAAATGCATCAAGCTGGTGAGAATGGTGCTATTGGAAATGCTCTAATGACTAGGGCAAATGGTGGTTTTCAGCAGAACTACAAGAAGTTTGCAAGCAACAACAAGAAGCCTGTGTGCACTTTCTGTGGATACACAGGACATACAGAGGATAAATGCTATAAAAAGCATGGGTATCCACCGGGTTGGAAGCCAAAACCTAGAAGCCAAGGCATGGTGAATCACACTCAAGGGCCAACAATGATTCAACAACCAAGCAGTGATGAAGGTATCTCATTCACTCAAAATTACTTGAAGAAGTTTCTGGAATTTGTTCAAATGCAGAAATTATGTGGGGAGAAGGGATCCTTTAGTACACCTCTTGACCAGCCAGCTCAGGGGGCACATGCCAACATCATATCTGCTAATCTCATGCCTGGGGCTCAAACTGAAGGTACTGATCCTTGCTCTAACTCTGCAAATGTTAAAGAATATGAATGGATATTGGATAGTGGTGCTACCCACCATATTGTGTGTTGTTTAAGCCTGTTGACAGATCCAAAGGAAGTCTATAATATGCATGTTAGCCTGCCTAATGGGCAGCAAGTGGCCATTACTTATGTAGGATCTGTACACCCGTCACATGAATTCTTACTGCACAATGTGCTCTTTGTTCCTGGTTTTCAGTATAATCTCATATCTATGGGAGCCTTCATTAAAAGCTCCAATTGTACTATAGAGCTGCAAACTGATAAGTGCACAATATAGGGTGCTATCCATGGCAAGATTGTGACACCCCAAAAATCCAAATTCAATTCATGGATTAATTGAGTAATTAATCCTATTTCAATTGAGGAATTAATTTCTAAAATCCTAAAATTTAATAGTTGGGGACTAGTATTTGACTAGTCCACTCCAAAGTCAAGTTGTACCTTGAGCTTTGAAGGGAGTTCCCTTGTTCCTTACACTTTCTAAAGTTAGTAAGGGTATTCTTGATCTTTCACCAAGTTTTAGTATTGTAACCTAACATAGAAGACATCTTCATTCTATCCCTTACAATTTCTAAAATTTAGCTCTACCTTCTCTCTAGAAAGGTGAGTAGCTTT